GCTAGAAAGAAAATATTTAGCTGACAAATACTGTTATGCCTTACACAGATAATGTGCAATGGCTTTGTAAAATTACATTTACTGTTCTTGGCATCTCTCCTCAAGAGAGGGCTGTGCTGATCACAAGCACAATGGCAGAGCAGTGAAAATGCTGCTCACTTCGCACTCTGCTGAATGCATAGGTCACAGCAAGCATCTCCACTCCTGTGTTATTTATTGATTCCCACACTGTCTTCCATCTTTCAGCAATGTAGCTGCAATCATATCCGACGGCTCACTTGTGACCTTTCACTGCCCAAAGACAGTTTTCCATCCTCTGTTCCTTTTTCGAAAAAAAAGTGTACAGAGAAAAAAGGCAGCACAGAACTCAACCCAAAAGAATATAAAGTATTGAATAAAAAAACTGCTCAGCTTGAAAGCAGCCTTAGTGAGGAGCAAAGTTGCCAACAGCTTGTAACAGAGCATAGGGCTCTTCTGGTACAATTATAGTGTCTCTACCTCTGAACCAGGAAACCCAGGTTCAAGTCCCACCTGCTCTAAAGGTATGTAATAACATCAATAAGGAGGTTGATTACAAAACATACAACAGGCCATGCCTGTTATAATCATTTGTTTGTTTCCCAATTGAAACTTAGCCAGCTTGAACAAAAAAAAGGAACACCCCTCTGAGTTTCACTGACACGTGGGTGTAGTAACAATGGTGCAGTCACATTCCCAACTGTTTAAGCAACTTTTGCAACTAGCAAATTAGAAATTTCCACCAACAAGGGGGTACCAAAGAAGCGCAGTATACAAAGTATAACAACTTCTGCCCAGTTAACAAACAAACAAGTTGTCAGAGGTCATCACAGCACACAGTCTGTCTATTGAGAAATTATTATAGGGACAGCTAAATCTTTAACTTATCATTTATCTTAAGAATGAAGTGTAAAACAAACTAAGTAGTTTATTTTATCTAAATGGAAGAAATTAGCATTAAAGGAAATCCCATCTGGACTAAATATGTATCTGATTATTTATGCAAGTGAATACTAATACATTTTAAATCACATTAATCTATAAGTTGGACATAACTATTCAAAATTACTCCAGGGTGGCCTCCCAAGTTCTGCTTTTCATGAATGAGGTTATTTCAAAATTCTGCTGCTTATGTCCCAACTTGCAACTAAGATACTTATGCTTCCCTAACTCATGCCTCTTAAGCTTTTCCGATTTCAATGTCTCCACCAAAACCTTCAGCTGCTGAGACCCTAAACTCTGAATTTCCTCCACAATCTCTCTGCTTTCTTTTAACACCCTTCTTAAACTCTAATTTTGACCAAACGTTTTGTCATCATCTCTACTATCTTCTGATATGGTCTGATCAAACTTGGGACAGAACCTGTATTCGTAACTGTTCACTGTATTTTATATAGGGCTGGTGTCTATTATGAAACCGGTGCAGTATAGAGACTGAATAACGTACAAAAAAAAAGATTCACAAGAATGGAGAGAAATTACTTATTCGAAAAAGCAGAACGGTCTGGAACTCTTCACTTGAATTGAAAATGGAGCAACCTGATTTAGGTCTTTTAAGATTATGAAAAAGTTTGGTTAAGGTGGATGCAGAGAAAATATCACCATCTGTGGGAAGTCCACAACTAGAGCCTGTAAATGTAAGGCAGTCCTCAAAGAAGAATTCAATTGAAATGTCTTTATCTAAAGTACTAAGTATGCAGGACATGTTAACTTAAGATCTAGTTGAGTGAAACAGCATAGACGTATTCAAGCAGAATCTAGTTAAGCATATGAGGGATGAAGGAAAAGAAGGATGGGCTGAGTGGGCTGGATAAACATGAATGGAAGAAGATCCCACTTCTGCTTCATAAACAGTAGCATAGACCTGCTGAGTGAATGGTCTATTACCATGTTGTAGACTCCACAAATCTACATAACTGCAGCAGCCAAAGGAGTACCTGAGGTGAAGGAATGTCTTCCAATATCAGTCCTGAAAACCTGGGCAGAGTGGACATTAGGAAGATGTTTTCATTGGCAGGAGAGACTAGGACCCAAGGGTACAGCCTTAGAGTAAAGGGAAGACCCTTTAGAACAGAGATAAGGGGAAACGTCTTCAGTCAGAGAGTGGTGAATCTGTGGAATTCACTGCCACAGAAGGTTGTGGAGACCAGTTCATGGAGTATACTTAAGACAGAGATAGATAGGTTCTGGATTGTCAAGGGGATTGACAGCTACAGGGAGGAAACGGGAGAATGGGGTTGAAAAACTTAGCCATGATTGAATGGCGGAGCAGACTAAATGAGCCAAATGGCCTAATTTCTGCTCCTGTCTTATGGTTCTCATTATTCTGTAGCTGTGCCTTCAAGTCTTGCAGTTACAATTCAATTTGACGTTGTGCTCTGGATTAACTGGTTTTATTCCACTTAGTATTCTATAGCAAAGCATTAATGTGTATTTGTGTCCTGTGGTGGACTGTCACTTTAAGAGTCTGAGTACATGATGCAACATCAGCCATTTTGGGCAGGAAACAGCTTACTCTAATCTTGCTGCCTGAACAATGAACAGCTCTTTAATAAAACTCTTGCTTTGGCCTCCTGGTCCTTCTTGGAATGCAACAAATACAATCCTTCTACGTTTTTCTGCCATAAGACTGAGAGCTAGGAGCAGAATAAGGCCATTCAGCCACTGGGTCTGCTTCGCCTTTCAATGATAATCCTCAGCTTCACTTTCCTGCCTTATCCCCATAACCACAGATTCCCTTATTGATTAAAAAACCTGTCCATCTCAGCCTTGAATATACTTAACATCCCAACATTTACAGCCCTCTGTGGTAAAGAATTTCACCACACTCTGTGATTCCTCATCTCTGTTGCAACTGTGCCTCAATGTCTTGTTGTCGTGATTTAATTTGACATAGTTTTCTGGATTCATGTTTTGTTCCATCTAGTATCTTGTATCAAAGTGTTACAATCCCCTACTGCAAAGATCAAAAAACCCATAACATTTTCTCCTCTCCCTTGACTACCAGGATATGACACAAAAAGGCAAATCTTGCTCAGAATGTTATCACTTGCGCACAAGCCTGGACTGTAAATAGCAGTGAACTATTCATCTGTAGATGGCATGACTACACAACCTTAGCCCTATCTTCACATGCACACTATCAACCAGATTAACTGTGTAGTTCACCGAGAAAGAGAACACTGATCAATGGTCTTCTCCTAATTCAGGGGCAAATGCCAATTAAAGTATCTCAGTCACTAATCATGCTGAGATCAACTAATTCAGACATCAGGTGACAGGGATTCAACACTCCTTGTTTTATGGTTCATCTATTTAGTAACTTAATCAGATGAGTCATCGCAAGAGCCTGCAACATTTAAGCAAAGATATTATCCATTCACTTTTATGGAAGCCTGCTTGTTAGATGTAAATTGCTCTGACACTTGGGCAAAGAGCTGAACAATGAGAATGCGGTAGTAGATTAATAGCCTCAAATCATTAGCTCGGCAAATCCTTATCCAACATCAGCTCATGACAGTCTGTAAATGTCAAGAATCTTCAAACTTTAACACCATTACAGGGGAAGGCGTTTCTCAATAAATTAGCTTCTGAACTGCAGCACACGATCAGATTTACTGGTGCCGCAGTCTCCCAGTGGATAGGCATGTTTGAAGGAAGCAGGGGATAGCGTCAAGAGTGCATTATTTAACCTTTGAGTCTGCCTCCTCATTGGGAAAGCAGAAGGCCAGAATTTACCATTGTATTCTTTTGGTGAAATTTGAGATAGGTCAGACACACTGGTTGCATTTATTAATGTCATAGCTTAAATTAGTGGGCAAACTGCACCACCTGGCAAAACACCAGGCCATTTCAAACCAGGGAGGCTGCTACTTTGATTCCAGAACTGCAAACATCTCAAATGATCTTAGCTAGGCTGACACAAAGTTCAACGCAATGAACCATAACACCTTTGAACAAGGGAAGATTAAAAGAAATGGGGTAAGCCAGGGCTCCTGCTCCTCTCCACCTGGTGACCACATGCTGGAAAGTGCGAAGAATGAGCTGTTTGACTGTTTGATGTCAATTCGCAGTTTAATAGCCTGTGGTAATCACTAGCTAATGTTCATGTATTAAGAATGGCCACTTTGTCAGTTTTGTTCCCCCAAAAATATACTTTTTCAGATATATCTAAAAGTATGTTCCAATAATTGGGAACTGGACAGAAGGAAGGTCTAGCCCAGCACCAATCAGCACTTTCAGGAGGAGCATGATGACAATGAGTGGGGCGATGGTGAGTGACCACAACTTGCCTGCCTCGCCTGACTTTATCAAAATCCTTGACGTAGCAATCCAGAAACGAAGCCAATGTTCTGGGGACATGGGATTTGAATCACACCATGAAAGACGGAGAGATTCGAATTCAACAGACAAAAGAAAATTCAGAATAGAGAGCTGGCCTAACAGTGACCATGTAACCACTGTCAAAAGAAATGCTTCATTAATGTAGGGAAGGAAATCTGGTCCGGCCTACATGTGGTTGTCTCTGGGCATTTAGGAATGAGCAAAAAAATGCCAGCCTAACTAGAAGTACCCACATCCCATGAAAGAATAATAAAAAAAGAAATCGGTTATGTGCTAATGGAATCCAGTTCCACCTAATTTCTCCACTAAATCTTCTGAACGCAAGTTCAGGATCTTTAAAGTGCAAGAATCGGACATTAATTATGCACACAGCTTTAGTCCTTATTTGGCAGGCCATGCTTTAGAAAGTCACTGATTAAATTAAAACCATGTTACGAATCGCATATGCAGCAATTAGTCACTGGGAACCTGACATTGCTCAGCAACAGTAAGGGATAATTTTTATGCAACTGATTGTATGATTAATTTGGACCAAAGAATGCCAGTTTAAAAAAAAACTTAACCTATAATGAGATATTGAACTACATGCTGGTACACAAATGCAGCAAATTGAAAGTGGAGCAATTGCAAATCCTTACCTGACTGGATGATGAGTTTAGCACATTCATTACAGGGGAACAAGGCCACATACATCGTACATCCCTTAACGTCAGCAGAGTTCTTGTTCAGAATCGCATTTAATTCTGCATGACAAACTAGAGAGAATAAAAAAAGTCATGAGAGAATTAAAAATAAGATGCATAAGCAAAGCAGCCAGCACGTCAATTAATCCCCATCTGGTCTTGTGCTTCCATACCTCCTCTGAAGAGGAGGGATTTCTGTCAGTGTCAGGATTATATAACCAGTTCCTTATAGAGATCAAGGGGCTCAGAGGACCCTTTAAACTGCAAGAAAAGGCAATTTAAAGCAAAAACAAAATTTCCATTTTCTGTTCTGTTTTTGGCAAGCAAAATATTTGTTCCATCGTTTACACTTGAAAGCAATTCTGATGCAGTCACAAGATTATCTGAAAATATTAAGATTATTGATTTTAAGATTAATATGTTAATGCTTTAATATCTCACCCACATCTTAAAACAGATTTTCAGCAGGCTATTATTCCTTCTTTATGAAGTTCAAACCATATTACTCCATAGAAAACTAACAATAAACATCTCCAGCATAAGCAATTGGAGACCATGGGTTCTTTTCCTCTGGTCTCTAGAAGTTAGCCTTAGATATTGCAAGATGTGGGCAGATGAGCAAAGTCTAAAAGTGCCATCACCATTGCATAAGATGATATGAGATGGCAGACAAGAGCAGATCAGGTCAAGCACCCTCTCGTCTAGAGCAAATGGTCAGTCCTCAGTTTACACAAAGAATCCTGATCAACTGCAGTGTGTTGTACTAAGCAACATATTCACGCTCTGGTTTACTGTTTGACTGAAAAGCCCCCTGTGTACACCTGGTGTGCTGCCTCAAGACAGCACTGGAGCGAATGTCAGCCTCGGAAGCAAGGCTTGAACCCACAACTCGAAGGCGAAAGTGCGAACCACTTAATCAGAGCTGGCTGGGAAAAAGGGGAACATTCACTCACTCACTTTTATCAATCAGCTCAAAGCACCATTCACTTCCTACAACTAATGTTGAATGTTCCGTCATGTGTTTGGGGTGTCTAGAACCACAGGACAATGTTTCAGAATACAGGGTAAAGGCATCCAGGACCAAGGTGAGGACGGATTTCTTCACTCAAAGGGTAACGAATCTGTGGAATTCTCTATCCCAGGAGTTTGTGGAAGCTCATTGATCATGTTCAAAACAGAGACTGATAAGATTTCCAAATACTATTGACATCAAAACATACAGGGAGCGTGTAGGAAAGTGGCATGGAGGTAGCTGACCAACCATGAGTTATAATGGTGGAGCAGACTCAAGGGTCTGAGTAACCTACTAAATTAGCATTGCCATCTGGAAAATTAAAGTCCCATCCCCACCATCTCTGTTTGCCAATTTGACCCAAAGTATTATTTTAGTTTGGATAAACAATGAAACCAGTGTGTGATAGAGAGAAGCAATTTCACAATCAACAGATTACATTCATACATTTTCCATTCGACCTGCTTGGAGGTGTTATTACATACCTCTGGAGCAGGTAGGATTTGAACCTGGACCTCCTGGTTCAGAGGTAGGCACACTACTGAATCACAAGAGCCTCAACAGATCAGATCTAAGCTCTGTGGTCCTGCCACATCCAGTTGTGAATATTGATGGCCAATTAAAGAATTAACAGGAAGAGACAAATATCCCCATCCTGCATAATGGGGAGCCTGGCACATCAGTAAAAAAAGTAAGGCTAAAGCATTTTCAAATATCTTCAGCCATAAGTGTCAATTGGATAATCCATTTCAGCCTCCTCCAGAGGTCCCCAGCATCACAAATGCCAGTCTTCAGTCAATTTGATTCATTCCACTATATCAAGGAACTGCTGAATGCACTGGATACTGAACATTATGGGCCCTGACAACCTTCTGACAATAGTACTGAAGACTTGTGCTCTGGAACACTCAGCCCCTGATGTCATTACAGCCCTTGACCTCAAGGCTGCATTTGACCAAGTGTGGCACCACAGAGAACCAGAAAAACTGGAGTCAATAGAAATTGGGAAGGACTCTCTGCTGGTCAGAATCATACTTAGCATAAAGTTTGTTGTTGGAAGTCATCATCTCAGCTCCAGAATATCATGGCAGGAGTTCCTCAGTGTAATGTGCAAAGACCAACCATCTTCAACTGCTTCAAAGACCTCCCTATCATCATAAGGTCAGAAGTAGAGATGTTTACTGATGGTTGCACAATGTTTGACACCAAATATGATTTCTCATATACTGAAGCAGTCTGTTTCCATACGTAGCAAGACTCAGACAATAGACTGGCTTGGGCTGAATAGTGGCAAGCAATATTCACTCCACACAAGTGGCAGGCAATGACCATTTCCAACAAGATGTTACCACTGGCATTACCATTACTTAATTTCCCCCACCACTAACATCCTGGGGGGTTACCATTCAACTAAAACTGAAATGGACAAACCACATAAACACTGTGGCTACAAAACAAGTCAAAGGCGAGGAATCCTACAATTAATAAGTGACCACCTGACTCTCAAAGCCTGTCCAGCATTTAGAAGACACAAGTCAGGAGTGAGATAGAATATGTCCCCCACTTCCCCAGATGAGTGCAACTCCAACAACACATGAAACTTGACGTATTCAGGACACAGCAGCCAACTTGATGGCACTATAGCCACAAATGTTCACTCCCTCAGTCACAGGCACTTAATAGTAGCAGTGCTTACCATCTACAAAACACACTGCAGAAATTCACCAAGGGTCTTTGGACAGTACCTTCCAAATCCAAAATCACTACCACCTAGAATGAGGGCATCTGATATTTGGGAACACTACCATCTCCAAGCTCCCCTCCAAGACATTCATCATCCTGACCTGGAAATAAATCACCATTCCTTCAGTGTCACTGGGCCAAAATCCTGGAACTCCCTCCCTAACAGCATTGCAAGTCTACCTACACCAAACAGACTGCAGCAGTTCAAGAGGGTGACACACCATCACCTTCTCCAAAGCAATTGGGAATGGGCAATAAATGCTGGCCCAGCCAGCAGCCCCCCACACACACGCTGAATAAGTTAAAAAGGATATTTTGTTTTTGATGTGTTATCTGTCACATGCAATGTTTCATCTTTGTTTCCCATCTTCTCAAGCATTTACCCAGCAACACTCACCCTGCAGGGGATGTTTGAGTGGCAGCTGCGATAGATTCGGAAAGTCGATGTCAGGAGTTGAGTGCTGCAACCACTGAAACCTCCTGAGGATTGTGGCTGTAAAGAAGGCCACAAAAAAAAATACATACACCCACCTCAGAATATATGAAACACCAACTCTTTTGGTAAAAGCAACTACTAATGACATTTTAAGGCAGCCTAGAAAAAGTAGATATCATTTTTCAATGTCTTGCAACATTTATACCAAGCCATTAACATTAATGCAGCTTTATCTCTTCATGTAGAGAAAATCCCAAGAGGATTCCAGCAGCGATGGTAGTTCCATCTATCTATGCAGCTTTATTCCACCAGAGATTCTAAAAGATCTGCGTGAGGCTGCTAAACCTTATTGCATGGAGTGCCAGTTTGTAAATAAACCAAGAACAGTGTTAACACAATATGCACCAGGCAAACAGCTGGAAGAGGCAGGGGGAAATTAAAAACATGGAGAAACTGCAGTTACAAACATTTTATTCCAATGAGGTGCTAAGTGAGGTCTTGAAATTAAGAGCACTTTTGGACGGTTGCCAATTGCCTTTTCTGCAAATTTCTTGTTTAAAATGTAACTGGGGAGAAGGAAATACCTTACCTGGCATTTCATGTCAGTAACCAGGGTTTCCCCATTTCTAAAGCTGCTGGCATGGGAACCTTGATACAACGTTACAATTACTAAGTATGGTATTACAAGCTTCCACACTGCAACTGGTTTAGATATTCTACTGCCTTGTTAACAAAGGGACAATGAAAAATGAAGTCGTCACTTCTTTTTAAATTCATTTGTAGACTAGATTTACAATACAAACTGCAACAACCACGAGATACGTCTGTGGAGTGCAGAGTGATCGGTGAATTGTGAATTTGTGTTGCCCCCTTGTAGTTTTTTGAATGTTCTCATTTAAAAACAGCCAGCAACAAAACACTATTCTTCAACAAATTAAAAGCTTACTGTGTTGCACATCTGCTGCTGTAAGTTATGGAAAAGTGATGAAAGGTTATTAGCTAAAAATATAGATACAAAGATTAGAATTAGATACAAATAAAAGGTACTTATAAAGGTGAAAGAAAGATTAGTCTATCATTGCGGCACAGTTGGCTTGTTTGAAGATTTGTTATTCTAAGGTGAATGGGTAGAAAACTTAATCAGAATTCAGCAGCTGCTAAGACCTCTGTAATCAAGCGTTGGGAGGTTGCTTGTACAGGTAGACTTAGCAGAAGGTTTCTTATCCTTCTCCAGTTCTGTATCACTGTTCAGGTAATCTGCAGGTACAGCATTCGATTTCTGGAGGCTTCTCTGCTCTTTTAGGCTGAGAAGCATCTTTCCGGGGGTCTCTCTCAATCTTAAAACAAAACCAACTGTGGATGCTGCAAATCAGAAACAAAAACAAAATGCTGGAAAAGCTGAGCATGTCTGGCAGCATCTGTGGAGAGAATTCAGAGTTCTGAGGAAGGGTCACCCGACCTAAAAGGTTAGCTCTGATTTCCCTCAACAGATGCTGCCAGTTCTGCTGAGCTTTTCCAGCAATTTCTATTTTTGATTCCCACTCTCCAACTTTCCTGGGAAGGACTACCAAGATGACATTTCATTGTCTATCTTTTACACATCAAAACTTAAAATAGCTGCAATATTAACTTTGATGAATATCTGTGCCACAAAGGAAAGTCAATTCTGCTGGTGTCAATAATGGTGTCCTTCCAGTCTCCTGTGCTCTCAAGTTTTGGAGAAGGACCCATTGCGCTGTCCAAGAATTAATTGAATACTAAATCTCTCTCATTGTGATCGATGCTGAGATAACCCACCAGTCTATTTCTAGACATAGTGAATCAACAAGACAGGCCTTGTGACTTCTGAGAGCAATCTTCTAAGATTCTGCGTTCATTCTA